AAACTCCCCAAATGCTTCCCTGCAGCTCCCATGCCGTTTGCCAGCCCCGGCATTGTCCTTTTATGGTGGTTCAAGCCTGCCGTTTGCCGCCCGCAAAACCCCCCAAATGCTTCCCTGCAGCTCCCATGCCGTTTGCCAGCCCCGGCATTGTCCTTTTATGGTGGTTCAAGCCTGCCGTTTGCCCGCCCGCAAAACCCCCAAATGCTTCCCTGCAGCTCCCATGCCGTTTGCCAGCCCCGGCATTGTCCTTTTATGGTGGTTCAAGCCTGCCGTCTGCCAGCCCGCAAAACCCCCCAAATGCTTCCCTGCAGCTCCCATGCCGTTTGCCAGCCCCGGCATTGTCCTTTTATGGTGGTTCAAGCCTGCCGTCTGCCAGCCCGCAAAACCCCCCAAATGCTTCCCTGCAGCTCCCATGCCGTTTGCCAGCCCCGGCATTGTCCTTTTATGGTGGTTCAAGCCTGCCGTTTGCCAGCCCGCAAAACTCCCCAAATGCTTCCCTGCAGCTCCCATGCCGTTTGCCAGCCCCGGCATTGTCCTTTTATGGTGGTTCAAGCCTGCCGTTTGCCCGCCCGCAAAACTCCCCAAATGCTTCCCTGCAGCTCCCATGCCGTTTGCCAGCCCCGGCATTGTCCTTTTATGGTGGTTCAAGCCTAAACCCCCCAAATGCTTCCCTGCAGCTCCCATGCCGTTTGCCAGCCCCGGCATTGTCCTTTTATGGTGGTTCAAGCCTGCCGTTTGCCCGCCCGCAAAACCCCCCAAATTCTTCCCTGCAGCTCCATGCCGTTTGCCAGCCCCGGCATTGTCCTTTTATGGAGGTTCAAGCCTACGTTTTGGAGCCTTCCAAACCCCCAAATGCTTCCCTGCAGCTCCCATGCCGTTTGCCAGCCCCGGCATTGTCCTTTTATGGTGGTTCAAGCCTGCCGTTTGCCAGCCCGCAAAACTCCCCAAATGCTTCCCTGCAGCTCCCATGCCGTTTGCCAGCCCCGGCATTGTCCTTTTATGGTGGTTCAAGCCTGCCGTTTGCCCGCCCGCAAAACCCCCCAAATGCTTCCCTGCAGCTCCCATGCCGTTTGCCAGCCCCGGCATTGTCCTTTTATGGTGGTTCAAGCCTGCCGTTTGCCCGCCCGCAAAACCCCCCAAATGCTCCCCTGCAGCTCCCATGCCGTTTGCCAGCCCCGGCATTGTCCTTTTATGGTGGTTCAAGCCTGCCGTCTGCCAGCCCGCAAAACCCCAAATGCTTCCCTGCAGCTCCCATGCCGTTTGCCAGCCCCGGCATTGTCCTTTTATGGTGGTTCAAGCCTGCCGTTTGCCTGCCCGCAAAACCCCCCAAATGCTTCCCTGCAGCTCCCATGCCGTTTGCCAGCCCCGGCATTGTCCTTTTATGGTGGTTCAAGCCTGCCGTTTGCCCGCCCGCAAAACCCCCAAATGCTTCCCTGCAGCTCCCATGCCGTTTGCCAGCCCCGGCATTGTCCTTTTATGGTGGTTCAAGCCTGCCGTTTGCCAGCCCGCAAAACCCCCCAAATGCTTCCCTGCAGCTCCCATGCCGTTTGCCAGCCCCGGCATTGTCCTTTTATGGTGGTTCAAGCCTGCCGTTTGCCAGCCCGCAAAACTCCCCAAATGCTTCCCTGCAGCTCCCATGCCGTTTGCCAGCCCCGGCATTGTCCTTTTATGGTGGTTCAAGCCTGCCGTTTGCCCGCCCGCAAAACTCCCCAAATGCTTCCCTGCAGCTCCCATGCCGTTTGCCAGCCCCGGCATTGTCCTTTTATGGTGGTTCAAGCCTGCCGTTTGCCCGCCCGCAAAACTCCCCAAATGCTTCCCTGCAGCTCCCATGCCGTTTGCCAGCCCCGGCATTGTCCTTTTATGGTGGTTCAAGCCTGCCGTTTGCCAGCCCGCAAAACCCCCAAATGCTTCCCTGCAGCTCCCATGCCGTTTGCCAGCCCCGGCATTGTCCTTTTATGGTGGTTCAAGCCTGCCGTTTGCCAGCCCGCAAAACTCCCCAAATGCTTCCCTGCAGCTCCCATGCCGTTTGCCAGCCCCGGCATTGTCCTTTTATGGTGGTTTGCCCAGCCCCGGCATTGTCTTTTTATGGTGGTTCAAGCCTGCCGTTTGCCAGCTTGCAAAACCCCCCAAGTGTTTCCCTGCAGCTCCCATGCCGTTCAAGCCTGCCGCTTGCCAGCCCGCAAAACCCCCAAATGCTTCCCTGCAGCTCCCATGCCGTTTGCCAGCCCCGGCATTGTCCTTTTATGGTGGTTCAAGCCTAAACCCCCCAAATGCTTCCCTGCAGCTCCCATGCCGTTTGCCAGCCCCGGCATTGTCCTTTTATGGTGGTTCAAGCCTCCCGTTTGCTAGCCCGCAAAACCCCCCAAATGCTTCGCTGCAGCTCCCATGCCGTTTGCCCCGGCATTGTCCTTTTATGGTGGTTCAAGCCCGCCGTTTGCCCGCCCGCAAAACCCCCCAAATGCTTCCCTGCAGCTCCCCTGCCGTTTGCCAGCCCCAGCATTGTCCTTTTCTGGTGGTTCAAGCCTGCCGTCTGCCCGCCCGCAAAACCCTCAAATGTTTCCCTGCAGCTCCCATGCCGTTTGCCAGCCCCGGCATTGTCCTTTTATGGTGGTTCAAGCCTGCCGTTTACCCGCCCGCAAAACCCACCAAATGCTTCCCTGCAGCTCCCATGCCGTTTGCCAACCCCGGCATTGTCCTTTTATGGTGGTTCAAGCCTGCCGTTTGCCCGCCCGCAAAACCCCCCAAATGCTTCCCTGCAGCTCCTATGCCGTTTGCCAGCCCCGGCATTGTCCTTTTATGGAGGTTCAAGCCTACGTTTTGGAGCCTTCCAAACGCCCCAAATGCTTCCCTGCAGCTCCCATGCCGTTTGCCAGCCCCGGCATTGTCCTTTTATGGTGGTTCAAGCCTGCCGTTTGCCAGCCCGCAAAACCCCCCCAAACGCTTCCCTGCAGCTCCCATGCCGTTTGCCAGCCTCGGCATTGTCCTTTTATGGTGGTTCAAGCCTGCCGTTTGCCCGCCCGCAAAACCCCCAAATGCTTCCCTGCAGCTCCCATGCCGTTTGCCAGCCCCGGCATTGTCCTTTTATGGTGGTTCAAGCCTGCCGTTTGCCAGCCCGCAAAACTCCCCCAATGCTTCCCTGCAGCTCCCATGCCGTTTGCCAGCCCCGGCATTGTCCTTTTATGGTGGTTCAAGCCTGCCGTTTGCCAGCCCGCAAAACTCTCAAATGCTTCCCTGCAGCTCCCATGCCGTTTGCCAGCCCCGGCATTGTCCTTTTATGGTGGTTCAAGCCTGCCGTTTGCCAGCCCGCAAAACCCCCCAAATGCTTCCCTGCAGCTCCCATGCCGTTTGCCAGCCCCGGCATTGTCCTTTTATGGTGGTTCAAGCCTGCCGTTTGCCAGCCCGCAAAACCCCCCAAATGCTTCCCTGCAGCTCCCATGCCGTTTGCCAGCCCCGGCATTGTCCTTTTATGGTGGTTCAAGCCTGCCGTTTGCCCGCCCGCAAAACCCCCCAAATGCTTCCCTGCAGCTCCCATGCCGTTTGCCAGCCCCGGCATTGTCCTTTTATGGTGGTTCAAGCCTGCCGTCTGCCAGCCCGCAAAACCCCCCAAATGCTTCCCTGCAGCTCCCATGCCGTTTGCCAGCCCCGGCATTGTCCTTTTATGGTGGTTCAAGCCTGGCTTCAAATTTGTAGCGTCATACTCATTGCATACACATTGCACATTGTGTGGCAAATTGAATTGCGGCATGTTGGGGCATATCAAAACATATATGTCCATGTCTGTCCCACCATGTACCACCATCGACCTCAGCACGGCCCGCCGGAAGCGACGCGCCACTGACCCACTGAACCGCTGCTGCCGTCGGATGCCGTCGGAGTATCTATCTCTCCCTCTCTATCTATCTATCTCTCCCTCTCTATCTTTCTCTCCCCCTCTATCTATCTCTCCCTCTCTATCTATCTATCCATCTATCTATCTATCCATCCAGCTATCTATCCATCTATCTCTCCATCTACTTATCTGTCTATCCAACTGTCTATCTATCTATCTGTCTATCTCTCTCTCTCTCTCTATCTCTCTACCTATCTATCCATCCATCCATCCATCCATCTATCTATCTCTCTCCCTCTCTCTGCAGGACCCCCCAAATAGGGGGGGTCGGCGGCACCCGGGCGCTAGCCCATTCTATTAAAGAAATAAACATTTGGATTTTGCATCATTTTACCATCAAAGATGATGAAACATTGGGTACTTCAAATATTTAATCACCAACAATTGGGATAAAACCATGAGATGGTGATTTAAGCAACACATATTGGTATACCAAAAAACAACGAAATGGGATTTCATCAAGCCCGTTGGAATATTGGAGATACTTGGTATATTATATATCCCTAAAATGGTGATTCATGGGAAACAATTGATACATAATCGGGATAATCTACAGTCACCAACTTTACATGATATACTGAAAGTGACGGGACGTTTGAGAAACAACACATTTTGATGGGAATGTCATGGGGTATATAGTATAACCATAGAATGGCAATGCTCATATTTTGCAAGTATATAGTGTTCAATCTATTCAATAATTCCCCAAGTCACATTTTTCACTGTTTTGGGTTTAGACATATCACATTATATGAATCTATATGCATGTAATTATACAGTCAATTGATTGATTGTATTTTTTAAAAAAATATTACATCTAATGTCAACCCTGGATTAATAACCCCTAGGCTGTTTAATTGGGAGGGTACCATTTAAGTATCAGATGAAATGACTATTGGAGGAGTAAACCCCCTAATTGTCATAAACCATGGTTTAGCAAAATCCGGGGTTGACATTATACTATACCCATAGGATCCATGGTGCTGGTATATATGCTAACATTGGGGGTATATTGATGGGATCCATGTTACCATATATAGCAGCACCATGGATCCGTCATGGGATATATCTTGGGATCCTGGTTGACATTTCTTGACCCTTTCCCCCCCCATCCTCCATCTCTTGTCGCATCTTCTTGAAGTTCTGATGAATGGGTTCCAGACACAACCTGCAGGCGGGCAATGGGTCGATTTATATATCAAGTTACTTGGGATGAATGGGGGTCATCCCAGCATTCTTCGGGGTCCACATCACTCTTGTGTTCAAAACAGGGAAAACTGCACACACGTAGGCTGAGGTGCCAGTGATATGTAGATGGGTACATCTGCTGCATGTGATTATATACATCTACAGCAATTACATTTCATGTGTACGCGTGAAGTCTGCACAAACAGTAAAGGTGCCGCATGACTAGCTCCTTGGCTCCATCCGAAAACATTTCCCCAGTGAAGTTTGAAGACCTAAAAAGATATCCAAGCCATTTTTGTTCCATAGGGAATGGACAAGAAAGCTAGGCAATGGAAAATCCCTATGAAAAATGAAGAGTTCTTGATCATTCCCATAGTTTGTTGCATTTCAACGTTGTCTCCCCGAAATCTGATGTTCACCACCTCAGCAATGTTTCAGACTCGTTGTCACTCCATTGACAGAGTCCCAGTTCATTCGTGATGATCCCCAAAACATTGAGGATACTCGGTAGTACAACCCTCAAATAAATCCTCAAGCAACCATCTTTCATCAACTATATTCCCATATGTTTGTTAATATGTTTTAATGTTTATTGAAACCATGTTAAAGCATGTTAAACCATGCTAAACCATGTCAGACCATGTTAACTTCATATACTTCTTGTTGATTCCTTGGAATCTGACAGGCTGCTGCCCCCGCTGGGTGCTTCCCACTTCACCAAGAGTTCCTCTGCAGCTTCGCGCCAGAGCTCCAATCTTGGTCCCAGTGGGATCAAAGAATGGGAAATTCATGGGAAATTAACGGGACACTTTAATGGTGTATATATATATATATACATTCTAATGGGAATTGAATGGGAATTACTTTTTTTGAATGGGGTAAAATAAAAAATGGGAATTTCTGGGGACTTTTTACGGGAAAAACCATCTGTAAATGGTGGAGTCATAATGACCTATGGAGATTTAACCAACAGAAAAAGGGGTTTAACCAACAATCATGGATTGCTAAAGGAATCCCAGATTAAAAATAGAAACCTAGACCATATCATCCCCTATATATATATATATATATATAGACTGTCGTGTTGGATTTCCGGGAAAATCAACCATCAGCCAAGTCCAGGATTATGGCTGGAACCAGAGAGAGACGCTGTTTTTTTGTTTTTATCTAGCAACAAATCATGGATTTGAATTCTATATCAGAGGGTTTATCCTAAAAGAACACACAACATCATACCTTGGAAATTATATAAGAGACATCATGGATTAAGCTGATTAAGCGACAGTCAGAAGCGCCAATGCTGACACGAACAGCCAGCCGCGGCCGAGGCAGCTGCTTGAGCTCTCGCTTTCGTTTGCCTGTCCGGGAACAATCAATTTCAAAACCTCTCCCGGTGCGAGGCACGACGCCTCCTGCGAAGCAATTGTGCGAGGCGACTCCGCTTCGATCACGCCCCAGGCCACGAGATATTCCGCCAGTCGCGGGAGGCGGCTTGCGTATCCTGCAGTGACCAACGATTCATGTCCACAGGCCGACAGTGTAGCCTTTAAAATCAAGGAGTTGGGTGTTGCCCCCAAACTGGGGACTGAATCAACACATAATTTTCAAAAGGCGCAAGGACGCATTCCCAGAACATGTTTCTTGCAACTCTTCCCATAAATGGGCGTCTCTGGAAATGAGGTATACCCTCTGGTAAACGTTTACATAACTATGGAAAATCAGCATTTTTAATTTTTAATGGGTAAATCAACTATAAATCACCATTTTCAATAGCTTTGTTTGTTTACCAGAGGGTACCTGTCAAATGGTTATTAGTCCATCTATGTCAATAAAGATGTGAACAGGATTGAAAATTATGATTCACCACAAGATTTCTGGTGGTTTTCTCATTAAAAAATCAGGCACCTAGGTCCCCCCAACAACTGCGTCTCGAAGGAGGTGGCAAACTCGAGCCTCAGTAGGCAAGTCGTATAGGCAGTATTCCAATTCATGTAGTAGCCCCTAATGTAGTTTTCCTATGATTAATGTAGGTCATATCCACTGGCAGTTCATAGATATTCTCAATAAACCAGGAACGTTCATGTAATAACCCAGTAATAGAGCTATGTTTAATAACATGAGAATATGTCTGTGCCATGGTGAAGTTCTATACTTCAACATGGATGATTTGTGCAGTTATGGCCATTTATGAGTTATAAATGGTTATTTCTATGGGATTATACATTTTCTGGTTGGTGGTTTCAACTCCTCTGAAAAAATATGAAAGTCAGTTGGGATGATTGTTCCCACTAGATGGAAAAACAAATCATGTTCCAAACCACCAACCAGTTTTTAAACAGGTTTTAAATGTTATAAGTACTATAAATCTGTTTAAAGATTAGTACTATAAACGTTTATAAGTACTATACACATGTCACATTTATTTGCAAACAAACTCTTATAAGTACTATAAATGGAGTTTTGTTAGTACTTATAACTGGTATATAAAGGGCCATGAATTGTGTGAAGGTTTGATCCAAAAGTTGCCATCAAATAGTGCTGTGTGACTCGTTTCAGCTATTAACAAATAGTAGTGTGGTTAAAACAATGCCATAAACCTCCCATGACTGGGAATGGTTTATAGAACTTATAAAAATGGTTATGACCGGGGGGTGGTTTATGGCGTTCTTTTATATACCTACATTATACGATCAATAAGTATCACCAATGCAAAGGATTTATATGGATTTATATGGTTTCTCATTGTTTTTTAACCCACTTAAAATTCCCAACACAAATAGTACAAAGTCCATGCTGACAAGTAGACAGTCGGCAAAAGTTCTGCTTCCCCAGGTCCAAGAAGTGATTCAGCTCCGTCGTGACGAACCCAATTTGGGTTCATCAGTTGCTGAAATCCCAGGTGTTGAGAGCATGCCAATTGTTGATCGGGGGGCTTTGGCCATCTCCCGCCAGACAGCAACGCCGGATACTGTTGCGGACATCGCGAAATCCGAACGCTCCCGACCTGATTGGGACCCTCCTCCTCCTGTGGCGAGGGACCCTCCTGTTGATAACGGCCTATCATGGCCCCAATAATCTGTTTTTTTCATTAACGATCTCCTTAGACATTGCCACTGTCAGTCTGACTCATCTATATATGAAATTAAATCAACCAATGCTCAATTTGTTCAGGGATTTCGTTATCATATCAAAGAAGGCATGAACAAGACAATCTGAAACAGTTTTTTGTCTACAATCTGGACCCTCCAAGTACCCACAACAATACGGGTATTCTACGATTCTACCCTATAATCTTCGTACTTTTACCATCTTTTACTGTTTACTTGGAGGGTGCTCTACGATTTCATTGAAATCCAGATGGCAAATTCGCGCATGTTCAAGCGGTGCCATCAAGCCATCCCAAACATATCCATCCAACATGATCCAACGCGGGCGCGTCTCAAAATAAGGAATATACAAATTATATGCATGTATGTATATATATATATATATATTTGTAAATCCATCATCGTTGCACCCATCCAAGGTCTTGAAGGTACATGCTATCCCAACCAGCTTCCAGGTATCACCTTTTCCATGTCCAAAGCACTTGCAGGCTCAGGAGAGCCCACGGGCCCACGGGCAGACGGTTGGGTGGGATAGCAGTGTTGAGCCATTTTGCATACGTTGTGGGCGTGGCCGCCCTTTTGGAGCTCAGAGCCAGGGAGCTCTTTCAGTCGTTTGGCCGACTTTGCATATCCGAGAACCTTTTGCCATAGGTGGCATTCTGACTTTTGTGCAATCTATAGACCTATAGATTAGTATCCCAACTTTCATCACTAACAATAGATCCAAAAACTGCTATCCCAACTATCACCACTAACTTTAATCTATAGACCTAAAGATTAGTATCCCAACTATCATCACTAACAATAGATCCAAAGATTACTATCCCAACTATCACCACTAACTATAACCTATAGACCTATAGAATAGTATCCCAACTATCATCACTAACAGCAGATCCATAGATTACTATCCCAACTATCACCACTAACTATAACCTATAGACCTAAAGATTAGCATCCCAACTTTCATCACTAACAATAGATCCATAGATTACTATCCCAACTGTCACCACCAACTAAAACCTATAGACCTAAAGATTAGTATCCCAACTATCATCACTAACCATAGATCCATAGAGTACTATCCCAACTATCATCACTAACTATAACCTATAGCCTATAGACCTAAAGATTAGTATCCCAACTATCATCACTAACCATAGGCCTATAGAGTACTATCCCAACTATCACCACTAACTATAACCTATAGACCTAAAGATTACTATCCCAACTATCATCACTAACCATAGGCCTATAGTAGAGTACTATCCCAACTATCACCACTAACTACAACCTATAGACCTATAGATTAGTATCCCAACTTTCATCACTAACAATAGATCCAAAAACTGCTATCCCAACTATCACCACTAACTATAACCTATAGACCTAAAGATTAGTATCCCAACTATCATCACTAACCATAGGCCTATAGTAGAGCACTATCCCAACTATCACCACTAACTATAACCTATAGACCTAAAAATTAGTATCCCAACTATCATCACTAACAATAGATCCAAAGATTACTATCCCAACTATCACCACTAACTATAACCTATAGACCTAAATATTAGTATCCCAACTATCATCACTAACCATAGACCTATAGAGTACTATCCCAACTATCACCACTAACTATAACCTATAGACCTAAAGATTAGTATCCCAACTATCATCACTAACCATAGATCCATAGAGTACTATCCCAACTATCACCGCTAACTATAACCTATAGACCTAAAGATTACTATCCCAACTATCATCACTAACCATAGATCCATAGATTACTATCCCAACTATCACCACTAACTATAACCTATAGACCGAAAGATTAGTATCCCAACTATCATCACTAACCATAGGCCTATAGTAGAGCACTATCCCAACTATCACCACTAACTATAACCTATAGACCTAAAGATTACTATCCCAACTATCATCACTAACCATAGATCCATAGAGTACTATCCCAACTATCATCACTAACTATAACCTATAGCCTATAGACCTAAAGATTAGTATCCCAACTATCATCACTAACCATAGATCCATAGAGTACTATCCCAACTATCACCATTAACTATAACCTATAGACCTAAAGATTAGTATCCCAACTATCATCACTAACCATAGATCCATAGAGTACTATCCCAACTATCATCACTAACTATAACCTATAGACCTAAAGATTACTATCCCAACGATCATCACTATCCGCAAGAACCTGTAGCTTCGAAGGGGCGTGATGTGATAGCTTCGATGGCTTCGGTGAAAGAGGCGCCGCTGCACGATCGGCTCCACCTTGCCACGGTCGACCCAATGGTACCCCCCGTCTGAGGAAAGCTGCACATATTCCTTGCTGCCGGTACCTTTACAAATATATATATATATAATACAATATAATGTATATATGTAATGTGTATAAATATATATATAATGTATATCTATATATATATATATATATATAATGTATATATATATAATGTATATTAAACTTGTGATGCACAGCCACACACCACAAGTTAGCACAGGCACCCAGCACTTCCGGTGAATCGTCGACGTGAATCAACACCGTACTCAAGCTAAAGTGTGATCGCAGCACTGCAAGTTTGCCCTGTTCGCCTGTCGGCTTACGGGTAATGAAGATCTTGGCAAATTCTGTTTGATTAGAGGCACACTGTATGACGTTCTGGACAGTATCGTCTCTGTGAAAATACGAGCAAACAATCTGTGCGATGTTGCTAGGCAAACCGTGCACAATTGCAAGCACGTCTTTGACTGCCCTTGGATATTCGCCTGCAGATGCCTTTGCAACGTTTCTGGATGAAACTCTGAATGTGTCCAAAACAAGGTGGTGGTCCCAACTGATCACAGCCTGTGAATTGGTCAAAGGTGATTGTCCGTCAATGACTTGAAGCTGCAGCCAACTGATTTCCCTTTGGGAAGGATCACGATACTGCACTCTGTTGGGAACTGGTTGAGGTGAAGGCCGTGAAGTTCTCAGCAATGGATTCGATCTTGTGATCCGAACTGTAGAATGCCCCACAGTCACCCCTTCCTCACTCGACGGTCGCGCCTTTGGTGCTGGCACCGTCGAACTTGATGCAGCTGCTGTCGAAGATGATGCTTCAAGACGTGGACCTCTCCGAAACCTTTCTGGCAGATTTCAAACTGATTGTCCTTGTCCTTCTCTTTGCAACTTCTCAATGTACTCGGGTCCTCTAGCCCGAATGCGTTCCCACGCAGCCCTCAGCACAGGATCACCAAATGGATTGGCGTTCTCAGCTTCTTGCTCAGGTTCACTTCAATGGACAGAGATTGTGTCGTTTGTGGATCGACTCTCAATGTCAGACAAATATTCTGAGACTAAGCCAAGTTGTTCCCTCCAATCGTGATTATCCCGTACACATTCTCGTAATCCTGGCAAGACCTCGTACTTGTTTGATGGGAAATTCCCGTCTTCAAGATACCTCCACCGAACTTCAGCCTGTCGCTTTCGCACAATCACCTCTGGCGGTGGTCGCGGAGTGAAGCCTGTCAACAACTGGCCAAGATATTCAATTAGGATACCAAGAAGATGCTTGTGAATTGCCCTTGTACGCCTCGCTGCTTGACCTTTCCGACCTGCCCTGCGGCAGTGAAGGTTCCTCCGGTGAGCAGCGATGACCCCAGCAACCCTGGCCTGGAACCTGTCTCTCGACCGACTCCTACCCCTCGATGGTGCTGAAGGTGGCGTTGGTGGCATACACAATCTTGCGCCGCAGGTCTTGCTCTTGCAGTGAAACAAAAAAGAGTAGCTCTTGCGTAGCTCTTGCGGTGAAACCGGTAGTTTGCTTGATCCGATAGCTACACCGATTTCTCTTGATTCACTAGTTTCTGGCCTAACTTTTGATTATCTGGGTTATGCTTCCACTAATTGCGTTCCTAGGATCTCTCAAGACAAATGCCCTTTGAGCAAGTTTGGGATCGCTGGCAAAATGCCAATCTAAGAACTCACCTTTGAACTCACCTTTGAAATTGGTCTTTGTTCGGCAACTGGTGAGGTCTTTGACACAACTCGACCAAGTGCTAGTTTCGATGAGGGACAAGCACTTAAATAATCAAGCTACACACCAACTGCGGTTGTGGTTGGATTGAGTAAAGGTTCAACACGCGACTAGCAATGCGATCACTCTACTCCCTTATATGGATGTTATTGGTGAGTGGTGCTGCAATTGGATCTGCAGACTTCCATTCCCGGAACAAACAGTCCTAAACACGGATGTTCTTCTGCTTTGCTTCCGATACCTGGATAGGCGTCGGAAAGTCACACTTGACACCGCACAAGTGGGCCAAAGCTTTGCAACTCGATTTAGCTATGGGACCAAAGGCAGGAATTAAGTGGTGGGGTTTGCCTAACAAAGGATGGCTCAAGTCCTTGCTAAGCTATATATGGAATGCACAAAGCGAGTGAGGCTGTTAACCTATTAAACTTGTGATGCACAGCCACACACCACAAGTAAGCACAGGCACCCAAGCACTACTTTTCCTCAGTGCTTGAGCCAAAAGTCGGATTGATCCAAAATGAGGTGAACCGATTGGTAAGACGCATAGCAACCTATGTCAACCAAGTGGAGTACAATAGTATGTACAAAGGGGTCACATTATGTGGAATCCGTCAACTATGTATATATATATATTTATACATATATATATATATTCCATGTTTATTTGATCACATTGTTGGGTGATTTTTCAGGAATTACATGCTGGGTACATACTTGTGGAGCATCTGGCATGAAATGGAAAAATCAAGAACAACACAATGGGAACGCAACATGCAACCCCATTATCAGTGGGTAAATCAGCTAAGGCCCTTACTAGCCAGCAAAGTAGAGCTGCAGGAGGGTTGTCAACTAAGTTGTCTATGAAGTTAAAATGCCAGCTACCAAAAAAAAATCCATTCATGAAACAATCTTTGTCTCGGGGCATTTTAGCCACAGTAAATATGATTGGATATAGGCTAGGGATAAATATATACATATATTATATACAACAATATATGTAAGAACCAATGAAGGGGATAAGTGACAACGTGGATCAAATACCGTCAATCAAGGTATCTTACCATCTTAAATCTTAAATGTAGAATACCCTGCAAAATCAACCGCTTGTTGTCCCCTTAAAAAAAGAACAACACAGAGCCTGTCTCTTGCAGTGGCACGTCGGGCCATTGGAGATCTCATATTCCTGTACAATATACCTTTTGGGAATTAAACGTCGCAAGCAAACATCCCTTCAAAATGGAGGTTTTAATTTTTAATGGGAAAACATCTATAAATGGTGGATTTTCCGTTGCCATGTTTGACTACCAGCGGGATCCAGCGGGCATCCTTCATGGCTCAAACATGCATTCAAGACCCATGAGCCAGCCATGACTGTTCTAGATATATCACAAAAAATATCCAATTATATAATATCCCGTTAATATGCCATTAGTCTCCCATTCATCTCCCATTCATCTCCCACTAATATCTCATTCATCTCTCATTAATATCCCATTCATCTCCCATTAATATACCATTAGTATTCCATTAGTATTCCATTCATATCCCATATCCGATCAATATCCCATAAATATCCCATCAATATGCCACAAATTTAATATTCCACTAACATCCCATCAATATATATATATACCAATATGCCATTGTATAAACTAGACTGTTCTAGATACCCTCTCGTAAATAAACATAGACCCTGAAAATCACCATGTTTTACTAAAAACTAATCTTCCAAATCCTATCTGGCAGGGTCCAAGTGTTAATTTACTGGAGGGTATATCCAGTCATATCCCATGAACTCCTCGAATTTCCCATCCCTTCATCCCGAACTGGTCGCCTTCTTCACCTCTTCAGCCACGAACTCATCGCGCTTGCTGTCAACTAAGGGAGAACCTGTGGGGCGCAGCTCCGAAACTGTTTTCTTTCTAGTTAAAAGCCCTAGAAGCCAGTGATAAAACGATGGGTATAAGATGTTATACGTTATAAGATGTTATAAGTTATAAATCAGTTATTTCATGAGATTTCTATGGGCTTATGATGGCCCATAAATGGGGTTATAATTGCCTGACGTATGCATTTCGGACCATAACTGCAGGAACAATCTCAGCCCATTTGATAGAAATAGACACGTCCCCTTCTGAAATTCTTTCCCTTGGTCTCCAGATCCACCAGATTCCCGTACCGAAAATCACCATTTTATAGCTGGGTAAATCAACGATTTCTATGGGCCATGTTCAATAGCTACGCAACAAATTACCAGAGGCTAATCCCATCTCATTCCATTATTCACCATTGTTAACCCATTGTTAAATCATTAAATCACCATTAAATCACCATTAAATCACCATTTATCGTACAGTTCCCCAGATGAGTTGAGTTTTCCTTCGAACTCTTTGACCACCTGGGTTCTCGGCATCTCTCGGCCTAAAGCACCCAGCACTGGCTTCAGATTCAAGTTCTTGGCGTCCAACAGCAACTGCCAGGGCGACATCTCAGGTGTTCCGAGGGGAACATCTCGGGAAACCAACCGAGGCCTCCAAATGGAGAGCAAGACATGGACATGTTTGATATCTATTAAAAACATCACGTTAAATTCATTGAACATAAAATTAAAATTGATGATTTATGAATATTTATGATTGATGATAGCTATGACATGCTATGACATAATGTCGCGATGGCATGGAACCTCCAACCGCCAGCCCGGGCACCAGAGCCCTCGGTACCTTCTGTTTGGTGAAAGGGTCCAAGCCGTCCTACCACCCACAGCAGAGTGAAGGAACACGACCATCTTCCCTAATATAAGTCAAGCCACGTATCGCGCCAAATGTACATCCTAGTTTTATATAAAAAAAAACACATGAAAGCTAATGGTCACGCAAATGCCTGGGTGCAGGCATTCACCAAAGATTGAAAACTGTCCCAAAGATGGCTGGTACTGTCACACCAAATATACCCGAGAATCATGGCTAAAGAAGTAACGCCATGATTCATGACCATCATCCCCAACATAACTGGGCAGACTTTTTTCAATCAGCGGTTCCAAAGTTGTCACGACCGTTTGGGTGCCTTCAATCTGAGGAAAACAACTCAGTAGATCACACAGGGACATTTTCCTGGTTGACTTTGCTGCACAACAAACAACATTCAGAAATGGACCGCTCCTTTCGTATGTGAGTTGAAAAAACAACACCACAAACAAACATGTGAAACAACCCAAACAACTGGAAGTCACCAACAGCGCCACAGCGCTTCTCGTAGAAATTGGCGCGGTCACCGATGAAATCTCATTGGTTTCTGGCCATTTTAGCCTGGCTGTGTGTAGGTGCCAGCGGATCAACATCCCAAATATGGTCATGTCAAACCACCCATCAGATATCATCAGATATCATGTCAAATATGGTCATGTCTTCACAAACTGATTGGTTCCAACTTACCCTCTCGTAAACTAACGTAACTATGGAAAATCACCATTTTTAATGGGTAAATCCACTATAAATTACCATTTTCAGTAGCTATGTTAGTTTACCAGAGGGTAAACATGGTAAACTGATGACTTCCCCCTAACTTCTAGCAGTACTACGGTGGCATGTCCGAGAAGGTTCTGTCTGTCTACCTCATAGTCGATGATCCCTGGTGGTCATCTGGGCACCATGTGGCACATCAAGTCATCAATGTGGACAATCATATACACTATGTATGTATATATATTATATATAGTCCTACACGTACTCCTGTGTACATAAATCAATAGTATATATGAATATGTAATATAGTATGATAATATGATGCATATTAATTATATATACATATATATATATATATATATATATACGTCATATGTATATGTGGATACACTCCAGACTTACAGTGATGGGCAAACAAATCGAGCAACCGCCTGGCTTCACTCATCCGCCTCAGAGGCCTCCTCAAAATGACAGCTGGTAGCGACAAGACTACAACAAAAACACCATCAGTTGGATGAATTTATGGTGGTTATATGGTGGTTATATGGTGGTTATATGGTGGTTATACGGTGGTTATACGGTGGTTATAAGCTCTGAATCAATTTCAGATGAATTTATTTGTGTCAAACTGATTGTTGTTTTGAATCATTAAGCCACACTAACGCTATAAGAATCAATTTATATAGTGTGGTTATAAATGTGTGATTTTAGGACATGTATGGTCAAGAGCAAAGTAAAGTGATCAATTTAAACCATAGAAGCGTTAAACACAAGTTAAACACATTTGAATTTAACACATCTAAAGCTCCGATAAAAAAATGTTTGATACACATGAACTCTGATCCATAGCCATGTTCTTGGGGCCCATGGATCAAGTTCTCGAGTTCATCTCCACCTTGGGTCATCTCAAAGATATGCACCATGACCCAAACAAATCTCTCAGCTACAAGGTTAGAATTATGGCTTCAGTTTATCAAATAACAATGAAAACAAATGGAACATAATTGATAAATATTGATAATATATTAGATAATATATATATATATAATTATAAATGATTGTAATATACTTTACTTTACTATACTATACTATACTACACTATACTATACTATACTATACTAATCTTTCATGTTTCATTTGCCTGTATTGTCCTCTTTGTTCAACCCACCAGCACATCACCCATCTATCCGTCCTCCTGGGAAAGAACAAAGGCGGCTTTGCGCGCCTCCCTGGGTGAACGCAGGAGGTGAACCAATGGTGAACCATATTGAAACATCTATAGAATCTATATCTGAATCGTTTTGAAACATCAAAACAACTGACTTTTTTTTTTCGAACATCTTGGCTGAACAAGAACAGAACAAGGGACGATGGACTGCTCTTTCATGTCTACCAAGGAATAAGCCTCACATCCAGTGCGAGAAACCAGTCGACCGCGTTAAGG